ACACTTAATACATTGAAATAAGATTCCACAGTATGAATATGAAGATTGATGTGCTGTCATCTGTACAAGATTTCAAATATTGAAATTTTAATTAATTTGATATGACTCATATTTGGGGAATCATGAGTAGAGTCTTATTTTAAAAAGAATGCCAACGATTTCAAAGTCACCCTGTATAATGCAGTTCAGTCAGATTACGCAGCAAGTAAACTAATTGAATTTCCGCCATTCAATGACATACTCACGATGGCAACCGAAATCGCCCGAATTAATCTGACCCTTAGACGAGTGGCAAAATCTGACATTCTATTCGAACGAATTTGATTTTCGAAAAGTGTGACTTGTCTAGTCTTCTAGACCCACTGATCGCGTTCGAAGCACTTGTGCGGCGCTAAACTCGTTACGACATGCAACATGACAATGGGACAACTATCCGGCCGCCGGATATCCGGCTATCCGGCCTAGCAGCTCGCCGGATATCCGGTATCCGGTATCCGGCCAAACAACTATCCGTTTCATCTCTAGTCTAGATTGTCACAAATAGTAGATCATTAGCAAGTAGATTGGTTGTAATGCCGTGATAGCCGACTTAATTTAAATAACTTCTTGCAAGGAAGATGTATGATGTTTGCGGTTTTGCTACTATGTATTTTGTATTGTGGTTTTGCTTAATTTGTGTGTTCTAATTCGCTCCTGTATAGTGGACACTAATTTATAAAGAAGAACGAGTTAATGCCTAGTTTGTAGGCTCCGAAACTGGACCGATTTGAAAAATTTCGCACTATTAAAATTCTTTATTATTTCTGATAAACATATACGGTAGGTACAAAGTTTGCCGAGTCAGCTAGTTCGAAATAAGACGGAAAATTTAAGAGCAATAAATTGGCAAAAATTATTGTTACAATATCAAATTCAGTTTTGTTGTTATTATAATGATGATGACCATATCGAACGGTTAAAACTTGATCAAGCATCGATACGCTATCTCTAATCTGTAACATGTTAAATTTAACGTTCCGCTGGTTCAAATTCGAGTTTTAATTACTAACATTATCAACAAACATTTACCTGTTAATTAATAGTCGTAGCAGATACCAAGTTAACCAGAGAACCCGTAAACTCTTGCGTGTCTATGCCCAGACTTCAGATTACACAGGCCAATAAATTAAAGTATGCTAGAACCAAATAGGAGAGGCGGGTGACCATAAATCTCGGAGAATACCTAGGACAAGGTATGTCGGGTCAGTAGGTCGGATTTCTCGGCATGTCGTGTATTGAAGTTGAGAAATGCTTATGATATGAATGTGTTTGATGTCGCAAAATGTCAGCTCGGACATCCCTTGATCAACCATTTACTGCAGATAATTTCATAAGAACATTATTGCAAGCTAATGAGTCATTCAACAGTTCCTGATCAATTTTCAATTTCTCTTCTCACATTAATTTATATCTAGCGTTATGACGTTATCTGACAAATAAAGGTTGCTTAAAAAGTAGGCACATGCCTTTTTCTAATATCTGTCTTTATCTGCAAATATTTTACAGAAAAATACCCCGGTAAAGTTTATTTTTTCTGATTTTGTTTCTATTTCTTTTAATGTTTTTATGTCATAAATGAGCAGTGGCGGGGCAACAACTAAATTTGATGTGGGCAAGACAGATTTCGCGAGGCCCTGTTCTATGGCGACCTGAAGACCTGAAGAAAAAAATTGGAATGTCTACAAAATTTATTATTAAAGTTTTTTTCGTATTTATGATAGTTTACGAGTTACTGACGAATTACGAGAAAATCAAACATTTTCAATGTACATGCATATACAGGGTGTTTCTTGTNACGTATTGGTGATATTTACATACAGCTAAATAATAGAGTGTATATTGTGCTTACATGCAAGTATTTTATTCACACGATGATATTTAGACTTCAACATCAATAGAGTATCTGCCCATTATAGGCATTGGGCACACACAAAACTCTGCCCATTATAGGCATCGGGCACACACAAAACTCTGCCCATTGACACCTAAAACAAATAATTTACACAAATGAATAATTTCAAATACATAATTTCAATTCACGCTAGTGTCCAACACTGAACCGCCTCAGCCTCAGCTAAGAAATGAGGGTTTTCGCGATTGAAAAATCCGCCAGATAGCAATACGTAGACGGGAGTTCCAAATGCTGCATGATAAGGTGGATTTTGACATATGTCAATGTCATGTCAAAAATAACCAATCATCACATATGGATTAGAGTAGATGCAGCAAGTTGATCGTTAAAGCGTGCCATTCCGATATGTCCAAATGGACATACATGGTCGAGTGATGTTCATGTAATCCGATTACAACAATCGGTTACGATGATTTTACGAGGACAGTAGTACGAACACGGTAGAAAGAAGAAATTATTTACGGATTGAGAATTGTAATTAACAGCACAAGTAACAAATAATTAATTAGAATAAAGTAGCAGTAGAAGAAGTATAAAGTAGCATTGTTTTTAATACATATCCTGCGATGTACTCTAAGAGTTAAAACCATGGTCCGTGTATGTGGTGCACTCATACCGATCACAAGGAACCGTACTTACTTTTATAACAATAAGACACACACTGATCCATGCATTCATGCACTTGACCAATTTTCGTCTTGAAATGCTGGTAGGGTAAAAAAAATAACGAGATTTGACGATTTGTAAGAACTAATTTATTTAAAAAGGTAAATAAAGATGTTTTTGGTTTTGTATTTAAGAAATTATCAGTTTTATCGGAATTAATTAATTGTCGAATCGAGTCACACGATATCTTTCGATGACTTTGCGAATGCAGTACGATGATACGATTATTTTTACGTTGCGGCAATCACTAAAATTCGCTAAAATGACACTAATGACGTTTAAAAAGTGGCACGCTCGGCTTCATACAAATTTTTTCACATGCTGCATCTATCTATATCTGTGCCAATCATGCAGCATTTGGACCTCGCGTCTACGTATTGCCATCTGGCGGATTTTTCAATCGCGAAAACCCTCATTGGCAGGAGGGCGCTGCTATAGTTCCAAAATACTGGACTGTCCTGTCGATGACATTGACAGTGGGGCGCCACCGTCAATACCGGATCGCTGGTTCAGATTTTTGCCATGTTGGAAACCATATAGTTGAACGATGGTAGCGCCCCCCTGTCATTGAGTTTGGCGGGACAGTTCAGCGTGGGTCATCTATATCAATACTGGATTTTAGTTCCGATATTTGCCACGTTGGACAACACTGAAGGGTCCCCTAGGCCCCGTTCAAGGAGACGCGACACGCGAAGCGAGCTGCGCCTGCGCGGCTTCAAAAAGTTTTTTCTCCATTTATGGAGAGGCGGCAAGCGTATTTTCCTTTACAAAATAACGGGGAGCGCTACACACTATCTGCTCGGCGACTGGACATAAATATTGAATAAATGATTGGATTTGATGTATGACATTTACTATCAATACTGGGTTATGTGAAGTTGTGGGTTGGATCCTTACCATGGAAATACGTCCAATTCCAATTTCTGCCACTTGACGTTTTAGAATAGTTTAGACCAGTGGTAGGTACATAACCTGTGGTCCAAGGTCCGTGAGCATATAAAGGGGGACCGCAGCCGTACCTATGGACCATTTAACATTACAATCATAAATAAACGCCACCAAAAGTCTCGTATTATTGCTACTTTTTTTAATTGTGCTTGATTTCCTCCACCACTACCTTTTTTCTAACCTTTTATGTTCATAAAATGGGACATAAAAGGTTAAGAAACGCTGGTTTACACTATAAATTTACTTACTAGTGCTTGGGCATGTGCGCGGGGTTGGCCATGGCGGCCATGCGGACGTAGGCGGAGTGCGGGCGCGGAACACGCCGCGCACGTCGCTGGTTCAGACTAAAGCCCGGTCTGTGAGCACGTAGAATTTTGTATTATTACTTATTTTGTTGACAGCAATATAATTACGCGCGAGCGATAAGGATGGGTAGCTTGGGGTCATTGGACAAAATTCTACGTGCTCACAGACCGGGCTTTATACGTACTAGCACAGAATAATAATAAGTACTACGTACAGAAGTTTTACTTCGCGAAGGTATTTAAAAAAATGTATGCTCAATGTCATTAACAATATGGTGTAATTTAGCCTGTCTCAACAGTCAAGCACCATTTTGTTGACAAACGTCAGTGATCGGCACTGCGCCGAAGCTATAGGGCTGACTTCGGTAAAATGATGGGGCGTGAGGTGCCAAACTGCGGAAAATGGCATTTAGCATGAATTATCATGAATAATTAATATTAACTACTTATTTACCTCTCAATGTCTTGAGACAACTTAAAAAAGTACATTCTGTGTTTTTATTATTATTTAGGCAGTTGAATACTGCACAGTATTTAGTACACCATTTGCTTTATTTTCTTCCATCATACACAAGAATACGCGTGCGTGAGTCAATGTTCGCTCGTATGTGAGGCCTTGTCGAATAGTATCCTGTAGGTGGGCCATCGTGCGTGTTTTGTTTTCGATGTAAACTCGCGGAGATGAACAGGCCTGGTAGTAGTTATTATTATTCTGTGCGTGTAGGTGTTCTCACTAGACTAGTGCTTGGGCATGTGTGCGGGGTTGGCCATGGCGGCCATGCGGACGTAGGCGGTGTGCGGTCTCGCGGCGGGCGGGGACTCGCCGCGCACGTCGCTGATTCAGACTAAGGCCCGGTCTGTCGCGACTGTGCGACCGGCGGTAGCAGTGAGTGTGCGAGCGCGACAGCAACATAATTACGCGCGGGCGATAAGGATGGGTAGCTTGGGGTCAAAATTCTCGCGCTCACAGACCAGACTATACATGGCGTGTACTCACTAGTGTTGCTGCGCACACTCACTGCGGGCGCCCGTCGCACAGTCGCGACAGCAATATAATTACGCGCGAGCGATAAGGATGGGTAGCTTGAGGTCATTGGACACAGACCAGACTATACATGGCGTGTACTCACTAGACTAGTGTTTGGGCATGTGCGCGGGATTGGCCATGGCGGCCATGCGGACGTAGGCGGTGTGCGGTCTCGCAGCCGGCGGGGACTCGCCGCCGGCGCCGGCGCGGAACACCGCCGCGCACTTCCACTGGTTCAGGTATTGCACTGGAAACGTACCGAGAGGATAGTATAAGGATAGATAGTAAATACAGTTCCAAAATACTGAACTGTCCTATGCATGACATTGACAGTGGGGTGCCACCGTCAATACCGGATCGCTGGTTCCCATTTTTGTCATGTTGGAAACCATATAGTTGAACGATGGTAGCGCCCCCCTGTCATTGAGTTTGGTGGGACAGTTCAGCTTGGGTCATCTATACAAAGAGCTTTAATGAGGGTTTTCGCGAATGAAAAATTCGCGAATGAAGCGCCCACAGGAGGGCGTTATCGCTCACTTTGGGAAAGGCTGATCTAATGAGGGTTTTCGCGAATGAAAAATCCGCCAGATGGCAATACGTAGACGCGAGGTCCAAATTCTGCACGATTGGTTATTTTTGACATGACATTGACAGATATGTCAAAATCCACCAATCACGCAGCATTTGGACCTCGCGTCTACGTATTGCCATCTGGCGCGCGCGATCCGCGATTGCCATCCGCGAATGAAAAATCCGCCAGATGATGATTATATCGACAAAAATAATTAGCGGGCCGCAATTTATAATGAGTTTAGAACCTCTGATATTTAATTTTTTTTATCAACTCTCGGCGAAGATTTTAGATTTCATAAACACCGACTGAGCTCTCGACTCTCGGCTACAAAAGAGGACTGCAAAACATAGCATGCGATAACTGTGTGTCTGACAGCGGATGGAGGCGATTCAAGTGCGAGTGGAACGCGCACAGCACTCGGTCTCGAGGCCGCGACGCTCAGCACAGCACTGTGCGTGCAGCGATGCTGTGCAGGGACACTCACTCTTCCACAGGCGCACTTGGCAGTCGTCGCCCGAGGAGGCCAGCAGCGTGCCGGTCACGTTCCACGACACGCGCCACACGCACGAGTAGTGCGAGTCGAACGCGCACAGCACTTCGGTCTTGAAACGCGCGCCGCTGGAGCCGTTTGCGTTCGAGTTGTTCGTGTCCCTGGAATGTAAAAGTCGTATTAGGCTACTTGTTTATTGGCATGAGCGCATAGGGCTGCTGTACACCAGCCTTTCCCAAAATGGGCGATAAAGCCCCATTGTGGGCACTGCAGACTTAAAGGGTAAGCGACACAGAAAAACATTGGGGCGTTGTGTAGAGGCTTGGGAGGCTATTTGTAATTTCGTTTACCTATTAGTGGTAGGTGAAAAAATGGGGGCGTAGACAAAATAAATTGGGGAACCCCTGCTGTGCACTAAGAAGACCGGCAATAATCGGCGTAAAATTCAATACATTCATTTCTGCATTCATACAAAAAAACAACGCATTTAGTAACGGTTCGGGTCGGCTCTGTCGTTCAACAAATACTGACAATGCCGACCCGCTTATGTGTATAAGCGTGTTATGAATTTTTAATTTATGTATGTCGCAAATCCTTGTCCTTTTATGAAATCCTACGTTTTAAATTGTAGGTACCTATTACGTCTTCTTAACGTTCTGAAACACGGAATCTTATGCCTTTCGTTTCAGCTCAGCAGTCCGTAATGCATCCTAAACAAACTAGGAACACACAGTCATTTTACACTATTGCGTTATGATGATTATGATGATGAATATGTGAATAGTGATGATGACCACACTCACAGCGAGTCACAGTCACAGCACAGGCCTGTATTTGAGCCTGAAGTTGATGTTAGTTGAAGGCGATGTCGTTGACGGGCTGGGCTGGTGATGGTGATGATGATGATGATGTGGGATATGATGCTCAACCACAATAAGGAAGCTAGATGTTAGTGCTTCCTTCCGCGGGGTGTTATGCTCGGGGACCAAGGTCCAATTTCTACCATCTTGGTTTTCCTATATATGCTGGGCAGGGTAGAAAACTCCGTCACCGCGATGCAGGTTTGTACGCGCGGTGGTGTGTGCCATAGTGGAGTTGTAACAGCGCCATCTGTTGGTAGACTACTTTGTAGTGGCGAGTAGATCGCCACAATGACACTCACAGCACGGGCTCTATCTTGATGATGCGGACATCCTTGGTGGCCACGGCCAGCAGGTGGAAGGCGCGGCCGAGGTTGGGCGCGAAGGCGATGTCGTTGACGGGCTCGGCTGGTGATGATGATGATGATGACACTCACAGCACGGGCTCTATCTTGATGATGCGGACGTCCTTGGTGGCCACGGCCAGCAGGTGGAAGGCGCGGCCGAGGTTGGGCGCGAAGGCGATGTCGTTGACGAGCTCGGCTGGTGATGATGATGATGATGTGGGATATGATGCTCAACCACAATAAGGAAGCTAGATGTTAGTGCTTCCTTCCGCGGGTGTTATGCTCGGGGACCAAGGTCCAATTTCTACCATCTTGGTTTTCCTATATATGCTGGGCAGGGTAGAAAACTCCGTCACCGCGATGCAGGTTTGTACGCGCGGTGGTCTGTGCCATAGTGGAGTTGTAACAGCGCCATCTGTTGGTAGACTACTTTGTAGTGGCGAGTAGATCGCCACAATGACACTCACAGCACGGGCTCTATCTTGATGATGCGGACATCCTTGGTGGCCACGGCCAGCAGGTGGAAGGCCCGGCCGAGGTTGGGCGCGAAGGCGATGTCGTTGACGGGCTCGGCGGCCGACGACAGGCAGTCGGTGCGCGTCCAACGCCGGGCGCCTTCGCTGTACCTGACGATGACATAACATTAAGGCTGGTTTTAGGCTTGATTTCCTTTTAGGCTGACATCGGTGACCGACTTCAGCGGCGCGCACGATTAAACACTAGTTCTATGTAATCATCTGCCGCTGACGACGGCGTTGCAGTGCGGTGCTTCATAGAACATTGTGTTTATTCGTACGCTCGACCGATGTACGCGACCGACGTCAGCGTAGGAGGAAATCAAGCCTAAGGCTGGTTTTAGAATCACGCTGAAGCACGCTGACCGTCAGCGCTGAGAGCCGAAATGTATGAAGCGTCGACGCCGAGCGATCAGCGTCACTCAGGAACGTTCCCTTCAATACATACATATTGAACTGTCAGCGCCGACCGTCAGCGTGTGGTCAGCGCGACTCTAAAACCAGCCTAAGCCTAGACGCAGAGGGGCCGTTCAAGTATTNCAATACGTAGACGCGAGGTCCAAATTCTGCACGATTGGTTATTTTTGACATGACATTGACAGATATGTCAAAATCCACCAATCACGCAGCATTTGGACCTCGCGTCTACGTATTGCCATCTGGCGCGCGCGATCCGCGATTGCCATCCGCGAATGAAAAATCCGCCAGATGATGATTATATCGACAAAAATAATTAGCGGGCCGCAATTTATAATGAGTTTAGAACCTCTGATATTTAATTTTTTTTATCAACTCTCGGCGAAGATTTTAGATTTCATAAACACCGACTGAGCTCTCGACTCTCGGCTACAAAAGAGGACTGCAAAACATAGCATGCGATAACTGTGTGTCTGACAGCGGATGGAGGCGATTCAAGTGCGAGTGGAACGCGCACAGCACTCGGTCTCGAGGCCGCGACGCTCAGCACAGCACTGTGCGTGCAGCGATGCTGTGCAGGGACACTCACTCTTCCACAGGCGCACTTGGCAGTCGTCGCCCGAGGAGGCCAGCAGCGTGCCGGTCACGTTCCACGACACGCGCCACACGCACGAGTAGTGCGAGTGGAACGCGCACAGCACTCGGTCTCGACACAGCACTGTGCGTGCAGCGATGCTGTGCAGGGACACTCACTCTTCCACAGGCGCACTTGGCAGTCGTCGCCCGAGGAGGCCAGCAGCGTGCCGGTCACGTTCCACGACACGCGCCACACGCACGAGTAGTGCGAGTCGAACGCGCACAGCACTCGGTCTCGACACAGCACTGTGCGTGCAGCGATGCTGTGCAGGGACACTCACTCTTCCACAGGCGCACTTGGCAGTCGTCGCCCGAGGAGGCCAGCAGCGTGCCGGTCACGTTCCACGACACGCGCCACACGCACGAGTAGTGCGAGTCGAACGCGCACAGCACTCGGTCTCGACACAGCACTGTGCGTGCAGCGATGCTGTGCAGGGACACTCACTCTTCCACAGGCGCACTTGGCAGTCGTCGCCCGAGGAGGCCAGCAGCGTGCCGGTCACGTTCCACGACACGCGCCACACGCACGAGTAGTGCGAGTCGAACGCGCACAGCACTCGGTCTCGACACAGCACTGTGCGTGCAGCGATGCTGTGCAGGGACACTCACTCTTCCACAGGCGCACTTGGCAGTCGTCGCCCGAGGAGGCCAGCAGCGTGCCGGTCACGTTCCACGACACGCGCCACACGCACGAGTAGTGCGAGTCGAACGCGCACAGCACTCGGTCTCGACACAGCACTGTGCGTGCAGCGATGCTGTGCAGGGACACTCACTCTTCCACAGGCGCACTTGGCAGTCGTCGCCCGAGGAGGCCAGCAGCGTGCCGGTCACGTTCCACGACACGCGCCACACGCACGAGTAGTGCGAGTCGAACGCGCACAGCACTCGGTCTCGACACAGCACTGTGCGTGCAGCGATGCTGTGCAGGGACACTCACTCTTCCACAGGCGCACTTGGCAGTCGTCGCCCGAGGAGGCCAGCAGCGTGCCGGTCACGTTCCACGACACGCGCCACACGCACGAGTAGTGCGAGTCGAACGCGCACAGCACTCGGTCTCGACACAGCACTGTGCGTGCAGCGATGCTGTGCAGGGACACTCACTCTTCCACAGGCGCACTTGGCAGTCGTCGCCCGAGGAGGCCAGCAGCGTGCCGGTCACGTTCCACGACACGCGCCACACGCACGAGTAGTGCGAGTCGAACGCGCACAGCACTCGGTCTCGACACAGCACTGTGCGTGCAGCGATGCTGTGCAGGGACACTCACTCTTCCACAGGCGCACTTGGCAGTCGTCGCCCGAGGAGGCCAGCAGCGTGCCGGTCACGTTCCACGACACGCGCCACACGCACGAGTAGTGCGAGTCGAACGCGCACAGCACTCGGTCTCGACACAGCACTGTGCGTGCAGCGATGCTGTGCAGGGACACTCACTCTTCCACAGGCGCACTTGGCAGTCGTCGCCCGAGGAGGCCAGCAGCGTGCCGGTCACGTTCCACGACACGCGCCACACGCACGAGTAGTGCGAGTCGAACGCGCACAGCACTCGGTCTCGACACAGCACTGTGCGTGCAGCGATGCTGTGCAGGGACACTCACTCTTCCACAGGCGCACTTGGCAGTCGTCGCCCGAGGAGGCCAGCAGCGTGCCGGTCACGTTCCACGACACGCGCCACACGCACGAGTAGTGCGAGTCGAACGCGCACAGCACTCGGTCTCGACACAGCACTGTGCGTGCAGCGATGCTGTGCAGGGACACTCACTCTTCCACAGGCGCACTTGGCAGTCGTCGCCCGAGGAGGCCAGCAGCGTGCCGGTCACGTTCCACGACACGCGCCACACGCACGAGTAGTGCGAGTCGAACGCGCACAGCACTCGGTCTCGACACAGCACTGTGCGTGCAGCGATGCTGTGCAGGGACACTCACTCTTCCACAGGCGCACTTGGCAGTCGTCGCCCGAGGAGGCCAGCAGCGTGCCGGTCACGTTCCACGACACGCGCCACACGCACGAGTAGTGCGAGTCGAACGCGCACAGCACTCGGTCTCGACACAGCACTGTGCGTGCAGCGATGCTGTGCAGGGACACTCACTCTTCCACAGGCGCACTTGGCAGTCGTCGCCCGAGGAGGCCAGCAGCGTGCCGGTCACGTTCCACGACACGCGCCACACGCACGAGTAGTGCGAGTCGAACGCNGTAGCAGTCGTAGTCCGCATATTATTATATTTTTTTGTCCCTTACTCTATGTGTATCAGTTAAACCTAATATTTTCATGAATTTTCCTATTTTAAAAATGACAATATTAAAAACATTTATAACTAAAAATGTTTACGTAAGCATAGGGGGAGGGGGTAAGTGCTTTGCTTACTTTTGATGACAAGGGGGGCGGGGGGGTAAAAAATGGTAAGAAATCTGCTTACGTAATACTTGAACGGCTCCAGACCACAAATTTTTTGACGGCCAATAGTTGGGTTGGGCTGATAAAATCAGTGTGGACAAGTATGATTAGAATAGGCCCAACTTCGGCCGACTTAAAATCTGTATCTGTTTTCTACGGAGAGTCTAAGGGCCTTGCCACACTAGCGGATTGCAAGCGGAGCGGCAGCGCGGCGCGATACGCCGCGTGTAAGCGGCCAGTGCAGTGTGGCAAGGCTCTTAAGGGTTTCCCACACTGCAGTCAGGTTAAAGTGAACGCAGCCCGCAGCATGTTCGAACAACATTGTCGGGTTCGGGTCGGTTGAGACATTTTGTATTGATGCAAACTGACAGTGTGGCGCGAGCAAAGAACACAAATTGACAGGTGCGAGCTGCGTTCATTTCATTAGACCTGATCGCAGAACGCACCAGTGTGATACGACAAATGTTTTAAGGCCTACGCAGAAACTTGCGGGGAGCGGGTGTCCCTACAATTCGGTAGGTATGCTAGAGGTACTTTTTGAGTTTGTAAGACAGATAATAATAATTATGAGTATACAAGTAAATGTATATGAAAAGGGCCTATTTGAATAATGATGCCTAGTTGTCGTTATGGAAATCCTTGGGGGAGACCTTTGTCTGGACGTCATTTCACTAAAACGAATGATGCCGTATATATTTTATGCTCCAAAACTCTTTCAGTCTTAAGTTTTTTTGTTGTCTTTTTATTGTAGTACCTACATAGTTTCTTAAAAGGAATGTGAAGATTCTTACTCATATATGAACACTTTTCCATTGCACGCAGTACTTTTGTCCGTCTGCACACTGGCAGCCGCGTTGGTTGTGTTGGGCTCGTCGCTGCCCACAGCTAGCATTGGCGGGTTTATTCTGGTGGCAACAATCGACATGGTTTTAGAACAAAATCATATTACAGTTTTGTAGCAAGTTCAAAATAATGTAGAAAAAAAGATGCAAAAATAAATTCGCTCATCAAAGACGTAGCTACACAGGCTACCTACACTTATGTGTCAAGTTTACTTAGGCCACGTTCAGACGATGAGCGCTCTACGCGCGTTTTGCTATATTTATACAGGGTGTTAGGTAAATGGGTATATGAGCCGACACTAGCCCATGTTAACATGGGCATATAAATGGTATAGTGAAGTTAGAAATTTGATATCATTTAATTTTTTTTAATTTTCATACAAAATAAATTTAAAAAAATCAGATTTGTATGAAACTTAAAATAATTAAAATGAAGATATCAATTTTCTGATTTCACCATACCATTTATATGCCCATGTTAACATGGGCTAGTGTCGGCTCATATACCCATTTACCTAACACTCTGTATGTTAGCGCTCCTGCACACGACGACGCCACCGCGCCGTTCGCCGCAACTCTACACTGTAGATACGCCACCGCGCCGCTTCCGCGCCGTCAAAGCATAATTTTACCGGTCCACTACCTACTGTTCAGGGCGGTGGCGGCGCGGCAGCGGACTTTTCGCGGCGCGTATCCACAGTATAAAAGTGCGGCGTCGGCACGGCGACGGCGCGGCAGCGGCATCGTGTGTAGGAGCGCTAATTCTCGGAGTACACATACTAACGCGCATTTCTACATGTAGTTATAAACGCGCGTTAGCAAAAGGCTCATCAATATGAACGTGGCCTTATGCTAAATCTTGTACAGTATTTATACTTTAATTAAAATAAATAAAAATATTAAAAAAACTTTTAATAAGATGATTTTTAATTTGTAGCTCAGTCTCAAAAGTGTAATTTTAATATTAATGAATTAATTACAGTACACATTTTAAAATTAAGATTTTATGGTTGCACACTTACTTAGATAAGGAAGGGTTCCATGATAGACAACTTATGGAAACTTTGGTGGGTATTTCGTGTTGTAATGTCCACTGGGCCAGGTTCATCACATCTGGGGCTTCATATATCCTGAAAACAATGATTTCATTATGAAATATAGTAAATCTAATACAGTTATAGTAGTTCTAGAGTAATGCTACAAATATAATAATTCCAATAATTTATTTAAAGTAAGTCATTTTTTATTTTAATGATTTCTCTCAAAGACATTTATAAAACCCTAAAGGATTAATATTAAAAGTGGGATTAAGAACATATCCATTATTAAAAAAAATAATAATAAGTATCTACCAGGGTTGCATGATTTAAATCAAGTTGATTTAAATCATGATTTAAATCACGATTTTTATTGCATGATTTTTTTAATAAAAATCACTGATTTAAATCAATATCCGAAAATGGAATTAATGCAACACTGGGAGTGCATATTAATCAACTATAATGTTCGAAAACAATGTTGATTTAGGTGTTCAAGTGTGAAATAGCCGTTTTGTATGAAAAATTGGTAAAAAAATATTTTTCCATAGATTTTCTTTTTGCGAAAAAAATAATATTGATTATTGTATTAAGATATTAATGTTTTTGTAATGCAAACGGACACCACTTAAGACGAGCTGTTTTTGACGAAAGTTTTTTCTTGTTTCAGTAAAAATATGACATACCATCTTACACAATTTACTTTTTTTGGCTTGTTCCCAGTACTATACCTCAGTTGTACCTAAATAAACATGTTTTCCGCATGAAAAACTAAGGCAATGATTGCAAAATGTAATAAAAATCAAATAAATCAATATAAATAAAAAAAATCACGATTTTTTCAAAAAAATCTGATTTTTTTGATTAAAATAAAAAAATCATGATTTTTTTCCACCCTGGTATCTACCAATGGAAATTACAGAAAATAAATTAAATACCTTATGATTCCATCAGCTGAGCATGTGACTAGCAAAAGGCCTAAATGTTTAGGCCCGAACTTTACATCAGTGACTGACGTCCTAGAGTCTACTAGATTGGAACGTTTTACCCATGTACGTAAGCCTTTATCTGAACCTGACACATTAGTGTCACCTGAAAACCAAGTCAGTGAAAACATTTAATTAAAAGTACCTTAATGAAAAAGGGCTACTATAAAGTCGATGATTATTTAAAAGATAAAAATGTTTGGGATGCGTTACTGCCTAGCTCGCATAAATATTTATAACTTTGTACATTTTAAAGCCTGTAAACCTTTGAAAAAGAGGCTGACAATAGTGAGAGTTTCTTGCGCTGCTTCTTCTCAGCACTGGCCCATTTGTTGTCCTGAAGCAGTGGTAGGGTTAATACTGGGACGTTGGTTGGATCTGGTTTTTTTAAGATTTACAGAAATAAATGAGTTTTATGAGTTTTTTTATGACTTTTATTAACTTTGAAATTATTTAATGTATATCATACTGCTAAGTGTGATAATTGAAGTATCAACACATACCAACTTCTTCCCACACAGCAGCTGTACGGTCAAACGAACAGGTTGCGATGACTTGCCCGAACTCTGGGTGCGCCCATGTAACCTTCCACACGGAACCGTGGTGGGCTTTCCAACTGCCCGTCAGGCGCCAGCCCCCACGACCGTCTGAGTCCCATATCTAGAAAGATGATGTTCAAATTCAAATTTATGTTGCAGTAAATTCCATTATTCAAGAATGCTTACACCATACTGGGGTCCAATCGTGGCCTTTTATGATAACTAGAAAATTGTATCAGACAATTTTCTAGTTATCATATATCATATCTGCCCAGGGCAATCAGTATTAATTTTTTAGGAAAAAAAATTACAAAACTTTTCAAGCCATTGTAGCATTTTAAGTAAAACGTGATATTTGATACCATTAAATCGGTGGGCTTTGTATGTTGAAGCAGAGACACCAATTTAGATTGTTGTTTAAACAAGAAAATAAATTAACTCTGAGATAAGACCCCTAAAGTACTTTGTTTGGTTTCAAAACATAACCTACCTTAACGTACTGATCGCTGGAACAAGTTGCCATTCTTTCGCCATAAAAGTCGTACGCCACATCATGAATAAGATCTTTGTGGTCTGCGTGTATCGTTTGAGACTCAAATAAATTAGTAATACTTTGTTCACCCATTATTTAGAGAAACAACCGCTAAAACAGAAATAGTCACTCACACAATTTTTTGACATAAAATGACATCAGTAGTGATGTTCATAAGCAATTCGTACGATAATCGATATACAGTTCAATTAACTAATCAATTGAATGAATACGCTCTATGTTTCAGCTGAATTGAATTGGACGTCCACTCCTGTGGCCTTTGGATCTAGTCAAAACAAGTAGCACTTTTTGATACAACGCAAAAATCTAATTCGTTGTAACTGCATACAAAAAAAGCCTTTCAAGTTTATAAACACATCACATTTCGCAACTTGTCTAGAGGGAGACTGTTGGAAAAAGGCATCCAGCCCATACGATTAGACTCATTTCAGGAAGTATATCAAAATTGAAATATTTACTAATCCATTAAGATTTGTAAGATTCAATTTGAATGCGAATACACCACAGATATGGATTAGAGTAGATACAGCAAGTTGATCGTCAAAGCGTGCCATTCCGATATGTCCAAATGGACATACATGGTCGAGTGATGTTCATGTAATCCGATTACAACAATCGGTTACGATGATTTTACGAGGACAGTAGTACGAACACGGTAGAAAGAAGAAATGATTTACGGATTGAGAATTGTCATTAACAGCACAAGTAACAAATAATTAATTAGAATAAAGTAGCAGTAGAAGAAGTATAAAGTAGCATTGTTTTAATACATATCCTGCGATGTACTCTTAAGAGTTAAAACCATGGTCCCTGTATGTGGTGCACTCATACCGATCATCCCCAGGAAACGTACTTAAGTTACTCATAACATTATGACACACACTGATCCGTGTATTCATACACCAGACAAGTTTTTGTATTGAAACGCTGGTAGGGTGAAAAAAATAATGAGATTTGACGATTTGTAAGAAGTAATTTATTTATAGAGGAAAATAAAGATGTTTTTGGTTTTGTATCGGGCCCCCGGGAAACCCCTAGTGCCAGACTTTTTCAAATAGACGGAGTAGAGGCATCTGCCTAAGGAAGTTCTATAATTTTGCCATTACATTTTTTATAAATGACGGCGGAAGGACAATTTTATTGAAACCTTTTGATTTGTTTTGATTATTTTATAGGGCTCATCTAAAGCACAATACTTATTCTTTGCACTTATAATATAATTATGAAGAAAAATCTTTTGTGTTTTGTGAACGTATTTTACCACACTGAATTTTGTCGTTTAGAAATAACTTCAACCTGACTTAGCTTTATGAAACAAAACGTATTGGCAAAACTACGCATTTTTACATTTATTAAAAATAAAAAGCTTGAGTTAAGTCTTTATTTTATGAAACTAGGTTAGGTACTTACTAGGATATTTAAAAGTATAAATTACTAGTAGTACTATTTAACATAATGGAATAACGATCATTACTTTCATATTCATAAACATTAGGCACAACAAAAATATTATTTGCATTTGCATTTATTAATTTTAATAAGAAAATTTATAATATAGAATCACGTTTACCGCTACAAAATTATTTTAAAATTATAAATTTAACAAAATATCAGTATTATCGGAATTAATAAATTTTCGAATCGAGTCACACGATATCTTTCGATGACTATGCGAATGCAGTACGATGATACGATTACTTTTACGTTGCGGCAATCACTAAATTTCGCTAAAATGACACTAATGACGTTTAAAAAGTGGCACGCTCGGCTTCACAGATATAGATTAGAGTAGATACAGCAAGTTGATCGTCAAAGCGTGCCATTCCGATATGTCCAAATGGACATACATGGTCGAGTGATGTTCATGTAATCCGATTACAACAATCGGTTACGATGATTTTACGAGGACAGTAGTACGAACACGGTAGAAAGAAGAAATTATTTACGGATTGAGAATTGTATTTAACAGCACAAGTAACAAATAATTAATTAGAATAAAGTAGAAGAAGTATAAAGTAGCATTGTTTTTAATACATATCCTGCGATGTACTCTTAAGAGTTAAAACCATGGTCCCTGTATGTGGTGCACTCATACCGATCCCAAGGAACCGTACTTACTCATAACAATAAGACACACACTGATGCATGTATTCATGCACTTGACAAATTTATGTNAAATCAGACTTAATTTCAGAAATCAGGTAGGTATCTATTCAGGTAAGACAAACATAAAATACTAGCTACTCCTAAAGTAATTAAAATTTTCGTAATAAAAAAAAAAGCTTGTAACAACACTAAACTAATTTAAACTATTGACGTACGTACCTATAGGTAGGTAGGTACATAAAACTATGACATAAAATAAGTTTCGATAGTCAGTCCTTTAATTCTTACATTTTATTATACCTAGAAGAAGTCTAGAAGACAACACAATATTTTTTTTAAACCAATAATATTCCGCAGCAGTCCACCACCAGTCCGAGCACCAGATTCCATTGTCACCTTAGCGTTTTTTACGTGCCGGATAACCTCAAAAACTATTTCATTTTTCCATAGCTTTTTCACTGCTCCTATTTATAAATCGTAAAATATTTTTAATTCACTAAGTATAATCAATGTCTTTTTATGTGAAAAGTCCTTTGAATACGCAGAATTTGCACTGTTTTCTGTATCACAACACCACGACTCGACGCCATTTTTCTTGTTTTGATTAGCAGCGCCTCGCGTGGTAAGAAAAAGAACTAAATACTTCAATTTGCCGCGGCATTTTGTAAACAGCAATTGAATTGGCTATCAAATGTTTTGGCATATTATAAAGTGTCCAGGCAATTTACATTTTGCCTTCGGCATTTCATAGAGCAGCGAGCGTTTGTGAACTGACGACGCCGTTTGTAAAATGCGGAATCATACAATTTGCCTGCGACATATACATGACATTATATCTACTCTAATCCATATCTGTGATGACATCACTACCGTGATAAACGTCAAAAAGCGTTTTGTTTCGGATAATAATTCAGTTCGGCTTTTTTCTAGAGTGGGGGTACTTTTAAATTGTGTTACGTGTGCTCTGTGCCTTTAACCAAACGCAATTTAATTTTTTCGGGAACGGGAATCGAACCCAAACCCACAGAGCACGTAATAATCCCAAACCACAAGCCGTGCCCACACACAGAATCTGTGTTTGTATGATTCCCAAACCTCATTTAGTTTTTACAATAGTTTAATCGTCTTTTTTATTAATAAATTAAAGATGTGCTACGGCTACGAGGCGCAGGCCGCAAAGTACTATTACTTTACTGAAATATTTTAAACAAAATCAAATAATTTAAAAATCTGTTTAACAATTGATTTAATAAGAATAAAAAATAATACAGTAAAGGATTACGTTTATTTATGAATTTACAACTACTTAGGTTAAACAACATAACAAAACAAATGCAAACTTTCACAGCATTGCTATCCCTAAATAACATTATTGTCCATACTGGAGATTATTTTGTGACTTTAGTGTAAATGGCACAAATAAATCTTTCATAGAGATTATCTACAATATGCTCTAAAAAGCAACATTATAATCAGTGCCGTAACTAGCCTTTTATGCGCCCGGTGCGAGCTTTCAAAACTGCGCCCTTGAAAAACTTGCGCCCTGTCGGGTCTTGTCAGAAATTACCAGAAATATAAAAAATGTAACCTTTTTGAATAAAAAGTAACCTTCTACTCGGGGTGCCTGCGGAGCGATTGTGTAAGGTGTAACAAAACTAGATACTGGTCTGGTCATTTCTGCGCCCTGTGCCTAGGCACCGCTGGCACCGCCCTAGTTACGGCACTGATTATAATCACAACATTGGGGTATTAGAAATATAAATAGTATACTTATTGGCACTGTTGTTAACATTATTGAGGAATGCTTAGGTAATTAATTATTTCGCATTTACAAAAACATACTACAGACAACTGACATTTGAATCAACACATAAAATTCATATCATCAACAATTTGTCTTAATATTCAATATATTTCATTATTTCATCTTTAAGTTATTTTTAAGGAGATTCCATTTCATTTATTGATATTCATATAAGCAGTTAAAACATATTTTGGCGGGCTTTTAGCTGGTCTATTTCGAGTGCCAGTTTTCTATTTGTTTCGACTAATGCATTCTGGTTGTGCGTCATATTCTGCATTTGCTCATTCATGCCAGCCAGCTGTTTTTCTAAATACAGTTTCTGTTTAGTAAGGGCCATCATGATGTGGAGAAAATAGTTTCTGTTATCGTCTGCTACGTCAGCTAGAGTTAACTTGATGAAATCTTTCAGTTCATCCATCACCTTTGCATCAATGTTAGCTCCTACTTGCAAATTACAATTGGATTGCTTTATATTGGATAAATTCAAATTGGAATTGCGTCCATCATCTGGTATACCATTAGGGATTCCAATAATAGGTGATGGAAAACCAAAATTTTCAGCTGTCCTGCTATTTAATGGTGTAGATATTTTGCTTATGTTCTTTTCAGCATCTAATTGGCGATAACGGACATCTGGTTTCTCACTTTTCCGTTCTTCTGTCGTTTTATTAATGTCGTCTTCAAAATCATTGTTGGTTCTATCAAGGCCCATCATGACAAGGAATGAATCGGCTTTATTGTCAGTTCCAGTGGCGGAAACTTCCAGATTATTACCTTTTGGTGGAGTGTCTGCAATGAAGAACATATCTGATGTCCTAGTTCTGATGGGCGATTGCATTTTATGTGGAGATAATAAGTTAGCTTCCGTGTCTTCCCGAAGACTGACTTCAGTCGACATAGTCTTCTTCCTTGATGGTTGAAAGGCTACACGACGCACCTCTTCTTCATGCCCTTTAAGCACTTTAAAGGGGGTAGTTAAATCTCTTAAATCATAAGCAAGAACTAATCCATTTTTAGTTCCAAGAGCTACTTGATTATCAATATTAATTGCCAAAGATGTCAGTGTGTATGGTGTCCGTATTGTAGAAACTACGTTTTGTAACCTGACATCGTATACATGCATAATTTTATCATAGCCACAGGACAGCATGACATCTTTATTGATAAGTGAAAAGGCAAAATCACTGACTGGTGAGGCATGAACATTTTCAAACATAGCCTTGTCTTTGTTCGTGGTTATGTCACGCAATACGACGTGGCCCTCATCTGTGGCAAGTCCTAAAAGAGATCTAGATTCATGGTGGAACTTCATGGCTGAAATGCTCTTTGAACAGGGAAGTTTAACTGTTAATACTGGTATGTTTGATACTAAACCATAGATAACTGTATCTCCATTCTGAGTGGTGGCCGCCAGACTGGTATTCTTGGCATTGTAGCTTATGAAATTAACAACAGACTGCTGTGATGGTGTGGGGAATGTCTTAGTGATTGTTTTGTTCTTTGTGTCCCATATCATTACATTGCCACTCCTTGTGCCTATTGCGATGTTACGGTGTCCGTCGCGGTGGAAACTAGCAGACCAGGTATCCTTTAGTGGTATATGCTGCAAGCTTCGCACATCATGATCTGCAGCACTTAGGATTTCAATGAGACCCTTAGAATTCACCTGAAAACATTATTTGAACACATAAATAATACTGAGTTAAAAAGATATTTTTAAAGTTAAGAATCTTTTTGGAGGCTTATGTAATAATAAAATATAATAACCCTGTTTAAAAAAAATTCACATATTACCTGCAAGATATATTTACTGTCGTCACTCCAAGTTACATCCCTCATAACACCATCATAGCACCCATAGGACTTCTTCAACTCCCAGTTACTGTTGACGTCGTAAAGTAGTAAACGCGAGCTAACAGACGTGAAATACATTTTTGTCTTATTCAAAATTATTGATCATAGAAATATATTTTGCTTCATAAATGAAATATTAATTGTATTTTTATGAAACCACCAAAGTTAAAAGTTAAACGGAAAACATAAAATTTTTTGGGCAAGTTTATTTTGACTTCAGTTGTCAAGTTTGACAACATACTTTTTCTGAAACAAGGTGGCAAACAGGGTACGGAAACTTCCATACTACGATCAAACTTGCTTCCAAACAGCGACTTCAGTCGATAAATTCCAATACTTTTTTTTTTCTTTATGGCTCTCGCNATGAGCCGACACTAGCCCATGTTAACATGGTCACATAAATGGTATAGTGAAGTCAGAAAATTGATGTCTTCATTTTAATTATTTTAATTTTCATACAAATCGGATTTTATAAAATTTATTTTGTATGAAAATTTAAAAAAATAAAATGATGTTATCAAATTTCTGACTTCACCATACCATTTATATGACCATGTTAACATGGGCTAGTGTCGGCTCATATACCCATTTACCTAACACCCTGTATAGTTCCAAAATACTGGACTGTCCTGTCGATGACATTGACAGTGGGGCGCCACCGTCAATACCGGATCGCTGGTTCAGATTTTTGCCATGTTGGAAACCATATAGTTGAACGATGGTAGCGCCCCCCTGTCATTGAGTTTGGCGGGACAGTTCAGCGTGGGTCATCTATACATATATATATATATATATGTCGCAGGCAAATTGTATGATTCCGCATTTTACAAACGGCGTCATCAGTTTACAAACGCTCGCTGATCTATGAAATGCCGAAGGCAAATTGGCGACTCGTTCAATTGATAAAATTTCGACTATGATTGTTGCAATAGGGTGACCATCATAAAACACATGTTGGACAAATCAGACTTAATTTCAGAAATCAGGTAGGTATCTATTCAGGTAAGACAAACATAAAATACTAGCTACTCCTAAAGTAATTAAAATTTTCGTAATAAAAAAAAAAGCTTGTAACAACACTAAACTAATTTAAACTATTGACGTACGTACCTATAGGTAGGTAGGTACATAAAACTATGACATAAAATAAGTTTCGATAGTCAGTCCTTTAATTCTTACATTTTATTATACCTAGAAGAAGTCTAGAAGACAACACAATATTTNAAAAAAAACACAACCGAGAGCCGACACACCAAGTCACGAGATAATGTACTAACATGAAGTTGGGGCCATTTCCCACACTATGTATATAATTATGTAGTGTGGGAAATCGAATCGAATATTTAATATTCGATTCGTCATTCCTATAGAATGATAGTTTATTTTATTAGGTATTGTTAACGTTTGGATTCGTTGTTATGTCGATAATATTTATGGAAATTTACCAGTTTTTTGTTAACTTTGCTAAAAGTAAAAAGATNATGAAAGCTTCCGTTTCGGGGAACATTTCGCCACGCTGCAACCATGCATTCGACGCTGCCTTGTCGACTTGTAGTTGGTGCAAATCGTGGTAATGGCGGCCATGTATAGATTTTTGCTTCCACATGAACGCTTTTTCGGGGTCAGATACTATGTGTTCATTCTTTTGTGGGTTAATGTCATGTAAATTAACGGTAAGTAAGCACACTTTGTAGGCTCCTATGATATTAGTCAAATTACTCGTGTATGATCATCATAATAAACGCTTTTCACGCTAAGACTCGTAGTTGCATACTACGAGTCGTAGCAATAGCAATAAGCAGCTTAGTTATTTTTGAGTTTATCTAGAATGAGAAGCGAGTACCGGCGGGTTAATAGGTTCAAAAAATACAAGAGATAATTCTCTCATCCTGAGCATAATCCTGAGAATTTTATGATTCTTATCGATCGAGATTTTCTTGGGCTACGAGAGCTCAGTAAAGTGCTTTACAAATCGTACTTGTCTTGCTTTCGCACGACGACACTTTGATATTTATTAAGCTTATTAAGCTTTCTAGAGCCGGCCTGTCGTGCACTTCGGCATACTACTCTCTGCGGCCGCCGGCGGCGCCAGTGCGGCTCGTGAGCGCCGGCGCCGGCGCGCCGCTCGCCACCGCGCCGGTCGGGCCCGCGGAGCGTGCTATTCCGCCGCCGCCAGCATTTCGTTCGACCGAAGAGTATACCTTACCCGCTCATGAATACCTTGATCCTAAACAAGTACGTACACTAAAAGCTAATTCTAGCAATATTAAAATACATTCCTATACATTTAGTATAAAAATACTTTCATACAAGGAATAAAAATAAACTTGCTGTTCCTTTCAGGCAACATAAAGTGGTTGGTCATCTTGGAGAATAGTATAGTTCGTTTCCTCCACGAAGACGCGCCCCACCACTTTTTGGTTCAGGGAAGCGCGGGGTGCGGGGAGTTTGATCCGAGCAATGGACAAGTTTCCAATTTTTTTCTTTTAATAAAACTTGAAAATATAAGTAAAACTAATAATAATTGTTAAAGAATCATGAAAATATCTCTACAAATTTACCTAGTTTGGGGACCACTAGCAATGTTGTCTAAGTTGTTACCTTGGTTGAATAAAGGTTTTTATTATTATTTTATTATTATTATATTGTTTCTTAATTTATTTTCTCTCCTAAGAGGCAAATTTTAGGAGCACGGGCCGAAGCCAAATGCATCCCAATTACTTTAGTTTAAGCAATATTCAAAAACTTTCTTACTATCCTGCATGTATTCAGAATGGTCGCTTTCTGTATTAATTTATAAATAGTTGGGGCTATGTCCAAGGTGCGTAGGCTAGTGTGTAGCTGTCTAGGGATGACTCCCGTGGTGGAGATTACAATTGGAACTACTAAGACTGTGGTTACACGCCATTGCGTTCTGATTTCTATTGAAAGATCTCTGTACTTAGCTAGTTTTTCTGAGTGTGTAGTTTGTAAGTTGTGCGTATTGCATACTGCTATATCAATTAAATATACGGTCTTATTAGTTTTGTCATGTAAAGTTATATCGGGTCTATTGTAGTGGATTGTTTTATCAGTAATAATGGTTCTATCCTAGTATATTTTGTAATTTTCGTTGTCTAGAACTGTGTCAGGCTGGTATTTGTAATATGGAGTTTTTTGTGAAATGAATTGGAATTTGAACGCTAAATGTTGATGGATTATTGCTGCTACTTGGTCATGCCTATGTTTGTAGTCNTATTAATCAAGGTTTATAATTTAAATATTGTTGTAAATATTATTATAGTGTAAACCTTTTTCATGTTAATATGAAATTAAATTACATTACAGAAGCCGATCGGAACACCCCAAGCACCAGTAACCAATCCACCGTGATGCCGCCCACCTTCAGAGTGAAGAGACCGGTGCTTCTCCACCTTCTAATTTATCCCGTAATTATTTAATTTAAGCTGTGTGTACAACATTAATGAACAAATAAAGCTACTACATAAATACTTACGTTAGTTTTAATTTCAAAGAAACAATGAAAATAGTCTTAAAATTACAGCTTTCCAGCCATAAAAGTATTTTTAGATTTAGATTACATGTGTAGCCTATTAATCTCATCAACCAACACACTTTTTATCGTCTTCAGCCTCAAAAAACATTTTTTTTTGCTGCTGTTCTGGTTCATCGGAGTTTTGTTCGTTCCTTCGTGAATCGCGAAGAAACTTTCTGTTATGTTAACAAGTGATCTGAGTTTTCTCAAAGTGCAAATGCTTTTTTAGTGTTGTTGAAAACTTTGCGAAAAGACGCTTTTGGTGTATAATATTATGTGTGTTCATAAATAAAGTAAAATTATTAAATTGAAAAGTTTTTGTTTATTTGCATTTCCATGTGCAATGTAGAATTTTTCCAAATCCATTGTTTTGAAAATAATACAATACGTACACCATAAAGATAAATACTTTCAAAATAATGGATTTGAAAAAATTCTACATTGTACATCAAAAAAACAATAATTCTTTGAAGGTTATGAGGGCCTATGTGTGCGTGAACTGTGTGTATGTGTGCGTGGACTTTATGTATGTATGTGTGCGTGTACTATGTGTGTATGTGAGCGTTACGTACGTAGGTTAAGTACAGCGAATTTAACACCAGGCTGTCAATTAGTAGGCTCAAAAATTTGACAGAGAGGGTTCTCTATTTCCTATGTATTACTTTTCTCTATGGTGGCAAACAAGCGACATTATTTACATGCTTAATGTATTTTTATTATAAATTAATATTATTAGGTATAATATATTTTATTAAATCTATTTATGATAAAGTACAAACTATGGCAAAAGTATGAAATACCTACGTAACTTTGTAAAATGGTAAAATGTTTGAAGAGTTTGTTTTTTTATCTGTGTATTTCAGTACGTGTCTGACGTGTTCCTTACGGTTTTGTAAACAATCAATTTTCATTTATTTCGACGAAAAGTAATAAGAACGGTAAGTTTACACTTAATTTCTATGAAGAGTTATAGAAAATTAAAGTAGTCCTTAATTTCTAACCATCTCGTAGCACCATTAAATTCAAATCTCAAATGCCGACGAAAACTTAACCTAAACCATTTGAAACAATAATTATCAAGTTTATAGCCACATAAAACATGAATAAATTTAATTTTCAGACGCCAGCATCATGATTACCGATATCCAGTTGGCGGTATTCTCCAACATCCTGGGAGTATCTATATTCTTATTGGTAATTCTTTACCATTACATCAACGCAAACAGCTCATCAAAGTAAGTTGAATTTTGTTGTTATGTTATCAAGTAATTAATTATTTGCTATATTTAATGTCCCTACCGCTATGAATGGTGAAGCACCATAGCCATAGCCATTGGGAATACCCCAATTTAAAAAAATACATAAATTTTCTGTTATTACTGGCTACTGCCCACTTTTATAGCACCTGATTAGGTAAAAGAGTAATATTAGTAAACCTATTACTGAAACTTATCTACCTACCATCGTTGAGTTGTGTGGTAGGTATCAGGTATTAATATTTAAACTTGACGACCCCACTATTCTAAAACTATTGTTTAGGTGTTGCTTTGAGACCATAGCCTTAGAAATTCTTAGTTACTTTGGCTAGTTGGCTACCTGAGTCATACTGTCACGTGATCTTCATGCTTTTGGGGAAATAGGTACCTCTCTTGATTAAAAAGGCAT